GGGAGAATGGAGACGGAGGCGGAAGTAGGGACAGAGACGGGAAACGGAGGCGGAGCTGATAGAGACAGAGACAGAGACGGGAGACGGGAGACGGGAGGGGGGAGGCGGGAGGCGGACGATTCAGATGAGCATTCTGTGAATACGTTTAGAAACGGTTGCGTATACGCCAAATATAAAAAATACGCCAAACGCATGGTAAACGTGTGGTTGGTGTTCTGCTAACTGTCTAAACTGGAACAAAATTGTACCGTCTGTTAGAAAAGTTTGTACCAGCAAAAATGTGCAAATTCAAAACTGATCACGAATCGCGCATTTTCAATGTTTTATATCACCACTGAATCATGTAGGCAGGTTCTTTTATGTTGTTTATATATCAAACTGCTGCAGGACAAACCCTCCATCTCCATTGAGAATAACCATCCCTGCAACTTCAAAGAGCCCCTCAGCTCGCAGAGTGGCCTGACGCACGTCTCTGTGCGGTGACCTCGGTCTGTTGCCAGGGCGCCGGTCGCAGGCCACTGGTCGTGGTGACCCGCTGTCCTCTGCGGCTGTCATTGTTTTTCTCGTTAGCACATCTGGGGTCGAGCGTGTCGGGGCAGCTGAGACAGGGGCTGTCTCATAGAGCCGTCGGCCTCTCAGAGTGTCACGACCGACAGTCTTTGGAGCGGACCGGGCCGCCCTGGCTGTCACTACCGACAGTCTTTGGGACTGAGGCTGGTCTGTAAGGCGGACAGCCTGCTGTGGACAACACTGGCACGGACTGTGGAAATGACAGGTCTCTTTTTATCTGGAAACCCGGGCGGTCCTTGTAATAATGGGATAGCTTATGCTGTTTTTTGTGTCCTCACTGCTTTAGTCGTCTTGGTGGCCGAATTATACATATGAAAATTGGCATGTGTGAATTTTACGTTGTTCATGCACACTGTAGTCTAGAGTTCATAAAACGTTACTACACCACTCCTTATCTGTAAAGTATAAAATTTACTACTTGGATAATAAATCTTCGTAAATCATATGCTGGCGAACATTGTAAAGTAAATGAATGATAAATGTCGGCAAGTCAACATAATCCTCTACTTAATGGACTCTTGTCAACTTGCGTAAGCTCCAATCTAGAATCTGGCCGAGATTTCCAAACTTACAGGAAATTAGGTTACACCGCAACCGGATGAAACTCAAACATTGCCTCATCAGACTGCGCGTCAATCTCTCGGTCAGCACGGCTCTGCCAATGTAGTGAGTACATCTTCCATTTGTGGCAAATAGCGGCATGAGCACATATGCCATCCGGGCGTGAAAACCGTGTTCAAACTGCTGTTCCGCTCCATATCCCGGAGCGATGGGTCCAGGATAGGGCCTGTCTTCGGCACAGAGCACTCATCCAGAGCTTTGTCGGGTGGTGAGGGGTTAGCCCGTATCATGTCGAACCACTGTGCTGCTATACATTCGACCCGTCATATGCAACGAATGTGCCACGGTTGAGTTGACGTGCTGCATGCCGGGGTGTGCGATGAATCACTACTGCGCCGAACCACGGGATCGGGATTTAAATCGTGACTTCCAAAGAGATTTCGTGGCGGATGCCGCGTCCACTCGTGCGCCGCCAGTCGTCTTTTCCTGAATCATCTCAATAATCTTGGACAGAGTGTCTTCAGAGAAGGCACCAATCCACATGTAATGCGTTTTTAAACGTCATTTCTGATATGTAATGGTTTAGAAGTCAGAATGTTTATGACCAAATTTATTTGTTTCTGTACTTAATAAGCCTGGTTTGTTTTCATTATTAATTTGGAGTGACATTTCCCGGAATGCAGAAATACCCAACATAAAAGTTAACGTTAACCCGCGCGGGGCTGGGGTCTCCAGCCGAACGCGCGGGGCTGGGGGGGGGGTAAATTTTACCCCCCCCCTGTTATCTCCCGAACTAATGGTCCGATTTGGAAAATTCAAACGCCAATCGAAAGCTCTCATCACGAACTACTAAAAACATGTACTTAATTTAAAGTTTGAGGTCAAGGTCAAGGTCAGGTCAAGGGTACAAATTGCAAGTTTCTACAGTATCGGCCTTGCACCGTAGTTGCCGAAGAATGGAGTCATGGACTGAGACTGATCGCCCAAAACGTGTTCTTAGGCTACCAAGACAATATTCGTTGCATACAATATCATTCAGAGGTCAAGGTCAAGGTCAGGTCAGGTCAGGTCAGGTAAAAAACAAAATATAGAAAGGGCATGTGCGACACATGTTTTATGGGTCATTTTACTCATAGGATTCAATAGGCACACTCAATAAGTGATATGGACCACCTCTGGATGAATTTCAGGTCGAGGTCAGGTCAAGGTCAGGTCAAGTGAGGTCAAATTTTGAAGTTGGTTGTTAAGGCCTAAAAAGGTATATATCTGATGCAGTTTTTCACGGCGAATCGAATGGTGCTATTTTTGTTTCCGTACGAGGTCTAGAACTTCCAAAAAAGTCATTTTTCAAAAATTTTGTGTGTCGTGACGTCATACAATTTTGAATAACTCCCACATTTTTGAACCGATTCTTCTAAAATTTGGTATGTAGGTGCACATAGACCACTTCTCTGACATATATTCCGGTTTTTTCGATAGACTCAAAATTTTGGATTTTATAATGATTTTCCCAAAAAAGTCAGTTTTTTGAGAAAAAAAATTTAGGCCAAAATCCAAAATTTTCAAAAAACCGAGATAGCCATTTGATAGACAAAGTAAAATTACGTATAACCTTTTTTTGTTACGTCTTGATTCCTTTAAAATTGAAGATGTTAGCGGCGTTTGAACTTTTGCCGTTTTTGAGGCGAAAATGGCGAACATGACGTCACTAAAACGTCAATTTCTCAAAAATTTTCCGACGGATTTCGCTCAAATTTTCAGGGAACGTGTTAAATTGATGTAAGAAAAGGTACTGAAAGTTTGGCGGCGGCGAGATATCGCAAAAATTCGCGAGGGGGGGTAAAATTTACCCCCCCCCCCAGCCCCGCGCGGGTTAATGCAATAAAATGTGGCATTTAGTAATCAAAGCCAGCCGCAGCACCAACACTTATGCTGTGCCTCAGCGTCAGTATTCACTGTTCGAGCACTGCCATACCAACTGCAGTCTGTTATTTCAGTGCCGGATCGATTGAGCTGATGGCGGGGCAAGCCTCTGCAATGGGTGGATGACACGGGCAGCGAGCACAGCACCTTTGAGCCGTGGGCTGTGAACAGCGCAAACTCTGTATGCCTGCAATCAATACCGTTAGCGTGCCCACAAGGCATGCTTGTATGAATGATACCAAACTAGTTAATCCGGGAAAGCATCGTATTCGCTATTGACAACGGAGTTTTAAAAGCATCGCTAAGGATGTCTAAGCTCAGTGGATTGATGCTGCGACATTTCCAGCATCACTTTTCCGAATTACAACTGCGCGCGCAGCGCGCAGCCCGCCACGAACCGCTCCCAAGTGCACCATTAAATTAGCATCATTCAGTGATGGCGGTTCGTTTCCTATAAAGACGTGTCATCGAATGGCAGTCAGCTCGAAAAGAGCGCATTTCCTGCTCTGTCGCAGCTCGGTTCGATCGCTGCGATCCAAAGACGGCGGCGATGCTCCCAGCCCGCGGCAGACGAGCGTCCGACGCTCCACTCCGAGTCCATATTTCAAATGGAAGTGCATCTGTGCCTCTCTGAGCTCGGTGTCAATGTGCAGCCACTCGAGGAGAAGCGGAGCAGTTGACGAAGAAGGCAGCAGTGAGGCGATGGTCGAATGGCTATCAGTATGTATTCGCTTGTGCCATGATCGTAAATACTATGACCAGTTTCCTATCAGTAGCGATATTTCAAATATTATTCGCATGGTGTAGGTATCGAACGTCTTGATATCTACCAGATTTACGTAAAAAAATTTGAATAGAAATTAGAAGTAATAATCAAGCTTCAAAGCTCCATCAAAGTTATTCATTACCAACAACCAGCTCATTATGTTTGCCTATCCGTTTGGAAGTCAAGTTCTAATTAGATGGAAAGGGCACCGCATTAACCTGGGCCGAAATGCCACGGGCGACTGAGGACCACGGCACGTCATTGCCGTCGTGGGACTGCTTCACGTGCAGCACCTGGCAGAGACAGGGCGCCATCCTCTGCCCCTCCCCCTCCCCTGCATCCCACCCAGCAGTGCGCCGGCCCGGCCCACTGCTCTGTGTCCCGAATGCCAGAGCTTTAGTGCCAATACCGGCCGAGCTGTCCAGTCGACAGCGAGATTCGTCTGTGTGCGGCCGCGGCCGTCAGACGAGATCAAAGTTCTCTCAGATTGAAGTTCGATCGGGCAGCTGAATTGGCCCGGCCGGTGAGGCCGGCTGAGCGGTTTTACAGGGCGCCGTTTGTGGCCCAGCGGGATACATATTTCAGAGGCTCTCGACAGGCTGGTTTGGAGTCCGATGTTCTGTGCGGTGAAGTATTTTTCTGCGCTCGTAATGACTAACCTCAGCAAGATGGTATTTGTGCCACAACACAGAAAAAGTTGGCTCAAAGAAATTGCCAGAGATCTGAGGCCTGAAGCCTTATTGGAAACTGTGACGGCTGGATGCAGGTAGACACTAGACAGGTTAAGACTCGGACATTTTATGAATTCAAGCGGAAAAAACCCTAAGCCGAAACGACCTAGCATACAATGGGAAAACCTGCGTTGTGCATGGTATCAGATAAGGATACCGTTTCAATGGCATGCTAATTTTTCTAGATGTAATGCGAGCAACGATTAGCTATGAATTCTTGGAATCATGCATCATTATCACATAACCGCTCGCCTGAAGGCATGTGAATATCACTTTTATTTTAAGAGATTTGTGCATTTAAATCTGGTTTATCGTAGGTTCAATGTATTTTGAGAACCTCATTTTTAATCGTTTTCAATAGCTCGTTGAAAACATGGCGTGTCTTTGCACACTGCTCCCTTCGCACCCAGTGCAGTAGGTATGCTAGCCACTTATAATAACACACGGAAATTTGTAGAAATGGCTTCATTTCAAAAACAGAGAGCACATGCACAAAGTTTGAGAGACACGAAATAGTCAAGTTGGCATTGTTAGCACACCTAAACAATATGTTAATCAACGATGACACTCGGATCACCACAGAGTTGTTCCGGCGACGGGTGTCGGGCCGGTCCGGAGGGCGGGTATCCGGCCGGTCCGGAGGACCCCCGGATCACACCCTCCGGATCACACCCTCCGGATCACACCCTCCGGATCACACCCTCCGGATCACATCCCCGCCGGAAGGAAGCAGCGGGACAGCGGCCACGCTCGCGGAGATAAAATACGACCGTCCGACCGGCCGCAGTCCCGGCCCGGCCACATACAAGTTTCGTCAGCGGGAGACGCTCACCAGCCACCGACCATTGACCACTGACCACTGACCAGCCACTGACCACTGACCAGAACACAGCTGGTCGCCGGCGCCACCAGTCTCCGCGGAATGTCTGACTAATTGAGCGTGAGTAGTGTGCACCCCGTTCGCCCCGTCTCTCGTATCAGGAAGCCTCGTGGTGCCGTGATATGCACCCCAGTTCGGGAGCCAGTGAGCAAGTTGGCCTTTATAATACTGTAGGGCAAATGGTGTTTTGTCTATGAAATATACATACTATGCTGAGATATGTGAAAAATAAATGTTGACATGGACATTTGGTGATGAACGACGCAATGACAGCACAACAAATTATTTTTTTCGTCCTTTCAAGAAATGAATTGAGTTTTTGAAAATAATGAATTAATAACTGTAGTAAAATAATGATCGAATATTTCGGCTGACAATGTGTTGATTATTTCAATATATGTTATGCTGTGGATGCCGTCGTGCTATATTAGAAATATCGTGGAATAATATTCCAAAATATTGTGGTTTCCAACGTAATTGGAATATGTGTACAACGTACATTGTACATACATAAAGTACAAGACATCTTATTTTTCTTGCGCAAAGCAAAGACGACATTTGGAAGAAAATGGAAAGACACATTAAACCAATGCAATGTTTTAGCAAATACATAATATAATGAGTATCATAAGCAAAAGGGGATTCCTAATTTTAATTAGGTGTAGAACATATTCTAACATGAAACGCCTTATATCTTCGTAGAGTAATCTTTTTGACACTTCGTTCTGAACCATTCTAAACTTATTGACAATTTTGTATATCGATGATCAAAGCGACCATATGTACGTACGTTTCAAAAGTTTGGCAAATATTTGTAAAGTTGTGACGGCATCCGATTATATTTGCCTAAGTTGATAAGTATTTCATTCGTGAAAAAGTACCTGGAAATATGCATTAGACAATAGGTATGGATGGGACGGTTCAAGCAAGATTACTTGGAAATGTCGATGACATTTTCAATTTGTGTCAATTCACTTCTGTGAAAACTCGGCAAAGTTCTGGTTATTGAAGTCAAGTGTCAACGCCTTCGCATCTGTTCATCAGGGAAAGGGGAAAAGGGATGATGCGACGTGGCACAACCGTATTCTTAGAGGGCTATGACATATAATTGTCATCTAACCATCTACAAGCCACCCTATCGTAATATTAACAGTGAGATACACTCGCCTCATTCGGGGAGCATCACACATCTCACACAGCCGCTCACACATTTCACACCCGGCGCGCTGCCTCGCACGCCACTCAATGAATGAACAATGTGTCAGTACGAATGGGTCACCATGTGGAGTCGAAAGCAGCCAATTGTGGTCCAGTCGGGCCGACACGCACGCACACCCACACCCACACACGCGCGGGGGTCTGCACCGGGGCGCACGCGCCGTCCGCGTGGCCTCTTGAGCCTGTCGCCGCCACCGCTTGCGCCTCCACGCCTGCGCCTCCACGCCTGCGCCCGCCGCCTATGCCACCAGAATATGAGGCGCAGTCAAGAGTATGGCTATAGTGGCGACCAGCGTGAACAGCGTGAACACTATCAGGCAGAACCGATCGACCACCATGGCGGCGAACTTCCAGTCACTGATTATGTCCCGGATCTCGTCATCCTTTCGGATGCGCGCTGTGATGAAGCGCAGCTCGCGCAGCAGCGCCTGCAGCTCGCGGTGGGTGCCCACGCAGCCGCTGGCCGGGGTGTACTCGAGGCCGCCGGCGTACCCGGACGGAGCCAGGCCGCCGCGGAAGTCGTCATCCATATCCAGCACGTTGGCCAGCAGCGACTTGGACGAGCGCTCCTTCAGCTCCAGCTCCTTCATCTTGTTGTTCATCATGATGGTCTTGAGGGTGATCTTGCGACCGGGCCGCGACATGCGCAGGAACCATGGCAGCCAGTTGAGGAAAAGTGTGCTTATCTGGGGGGCGAGAGAGGGAAGTTCGTGAGCGTTGGAGGGAGGCTGATTTGCGAGAGAGAGAGAGAGAGAGAGAGAGAGAGAGAGAGAGAGAGAGAGAGAGAGAGAGAGAGAGAGAGAGAGAGAGAGAGAGAGAGAGAGAGAGAGAGAGAGAGAGAGAGAGAGAGAGAGAGAGAGAGCATGTGAGTCCATGTAAGCTAATAAAGAAATTGGATGAAGCGATGCGTGGTTGATACGATTGTGTTGGATGTGCAAGTGTATAGGTCTGTTGGCGGGAACCCAACCACGCCGACTACAAGAAAGCGGGAATGTCTTACTCATCGCAAAAGAAGATATCAATCGGGCAGTTTAAGTGGTATTATGAAATTTCCCTGAGTCAGTAGATAAGACAGAGCAGCGTTAGAATGAAACGCTGAGCCGGCGCAGTTCAAGGCGCCTCGGCGTTCGGTACCTATCTCCTAGTGATGAGAATGGACTGCGATCGACCAGAGGTGGCCTGACGAAAATTCAACCCACCAACGTAATTTGTCCCAAAGGGATTGCTTCAACTTTATTTGAGCTTCATGATTAATTGATTAGTAGATATGCCAATATTCGCCGCTGTTGCATGAAAGTGTGTGCAAATATTTGCAGTCATTTGTTTTATCGTTTCTACTTTCTATGCATATTGATACCTGAGCATCGTTCAGTAGTCTGCCTGAATGTAATGCTTTTCTATAAGCCAAATGAGCTATGCACGTTTGGGGTATGCAATATCCAGCAGAACCAGCAGCGCCGATATACTTCCTTCATCGTTATCTACTTGGGCAGCCACTAAATAGATAGGCGCTAAGCCAAGTGCGATGATACGCTTCAGCGCACAATGGCAACTTAGCGGCCCCCGGCTAAGAGGCGTTGGGCGAGGGCAGACAGATGCCGGAGAGAGCGAGGGAGAGGGAGGGAGGGTGGGAGGGAGAGAGATAAGCGGAGCGGGCGGGCTGGGGCGGGAGGCACGAGGGGAGCGCGGGATATAGGACAGTCAGAGACGAGCCAGCGAAGGGGACGGACCATCGGTCATGGTCTCAACAATTTTTTTGGCTTCTCTCATTGTGTGACACTCGGAGTGACAGAGTGACAGAGAGGCTATGAATAGTGACGGTGAAAGAGGGAGTGGTGGCATGGTACTCAGAGGGGCGGTGCCTTGCGATTCAGCGCAGCGCAGGAGCTGGGAGGCAGAGAATCAACCGCCTGTGACGACTCATGACGCGAGGTTTGTCAGTAGATGCCACTGACTACAGGTAAGCGAAGGGCCGAGTTCGCTGTTGTGTAACTGGCCGGGTGCTGCGACAGCTTGACGGGCGCAGTCACCTGCGCTCTCGAGAGCAGGGATGCTTTTGTGGGCAGACCGCGAGGGCGCTACTTTCCAGCTCTTGGGAGCTTATTGTCATGGCTGTCAGCTGTCGATGTATAATCAGCGGGTAGACAGAATCGCGCGACTTGCGTCATTGCGGAGTCACGCGCTGTCTAATCTGGATGGTGTTGTCCGACATCTCGTGCTACAAATTGAATAGGCTGGCAATATCGGCTTGGGAGAGACGGTCGTGGACATTTTTTTTTCGTTGCTTCGTCAAGAGCTTTTTGACGCTTGAAGCGCGCCACGGCGGCAGCTGTGGTCGTGGGAGCGCTCCGTGAGGACCCAGACTGTGGGTTAGCGCCTGCCTGGTCTCCTGTTGTCACAGTCCGGTGACCGGTTGCCAGCGCGACTGCCGACTGCGGCGGGGGAGCGGGACGGGGTCAGACGTCCCTGTGCATATGGAGTGTGGCAGCGGCTGAGGGCCTGCTGGTTGGTCTTTGAAGCCTTTGGGGGCTGGTGGGTGCGGTGCGGTACCCTTGGGGGCGAACGCGGTCAGTGACTTGGTGACCTCGGGTGACATTTTCAGGGCTGATATCAGGTTTGGCCCGTGACCACCTGCACCCTGGTATCGCTGCGCGCTGCAACGGTGCAGCGGCGCTTAACCCCTGCGCGCCGGCTGAGCGTGCGGCGCCGGGTGGGTGACGTCATCGAAGCACGCCGCACGCAGTTAGATCTAGGCGCCGGGCCGGGGCCCTGTTTACGGCCGCTGCCGGCGTGCGCTATCACACGTGCTATTGGGTTTCCATGACATCCGTACATCCGTATCTCCAACTCTGCCAAAATGTCGTCACATGTGTGACTTCAGCTCGCAAAATGCGATAGCAGCGTGGTAGCAGCATCGAGTGAAATGCCGCTCAAAAACGGGAATGGCCCTCCCTTTGTCCGCGCGGTCCACGGGCCCGCCGGCGCCGCGGCGCGGCGGACCGGGCAGCGGAGACCCAATAAAGCAAACAGCCCGGCCTTATCGGTCACGGTGTCGTATGGCGGCGCCCGGCCGCATGGCTCACAGCTGGGGCATGGGTGAATGTCCGCTGGAGTCATGGGACGGGCAGTGGGACAGGGCCAAGGAGAAAGGAACATGGTGTTTGAGGGAGAGTCGAGGGGGCAGTGACCCTTCCGGAACGGGGTGATCGTGGTGGTCCCAGATGTTGTCTATTGAGTTTTTTTTTTTTTACAGACCTAAAGCGCGCGCAGCGGCGCGCAGTCGGCTCGCAGGCACACCACGGCTACCTATCGGCTGTCGCTGTTCCGGACCACGCGGGCTCTGACGTGCCCTCGTCTTTGCGTGGCTTGACCGCCTTTGCCGGGCGAGGAGCAGCCGCGCGAGCGGTCGAGGGTCAGTTTGACCGTGGTGCGGGTCGCTGGTTGTTGGCAGAATACAATGCGACGCCGCGGACTGATTAGTGGTGTCACCTGGGATTGGACCTTCGGCATTCCGATTTGTCTAATGTTCATTTCGGGAGATGGTTGAACAAAGGTTACACTGGCTTGCACAGCTTGAACAATCACTTGCTCGGGGGACGAGAAACGCTATTTCTTCTATCCCTGCTTCCTGGTTGATAAGAACGAGCTTAGACAAGCTTCGGCAGGGTGCGCTGAAGGAGCAGAGCGCCTGTGGCGACCGGGCAAGCGCCGCGGGATGACCGGGGGGGGGGGGAGGGTGGCAGACCGCTACGGGCGCCACTATCGCGGGTCTGACGGGCGGCCGTGGGAGCGCTTGGGAGTTTCTTGCCCGTAACGGCGACAGTAGCTGTCCTAGCTCTCGAGCTTATTGCCCTTGGGGGCGAGCTTGCTGCCCCTTGGGGGCGACGGTAGCTGTTACAGCCCTCGGGAGTTAATTGTCTTTGGGGCGACGATGGCTGTACAAGCTCTTGAGGAGCTTATTGCCCTCGGGGGCGACTGAGGCTGCACGGGCTCTTGGGAGCTTATTGCCCGTGGGGGGCGACGATGGCAGTACAAGCTCTTGGGGAGCTTATTGTCCTTGGGGGCGACTGTGGCTGCACGGGCTCTTGGGAGCTTTGCCCTTGGGGGCGACGATGGTTGTACGAGCTCTTGGGAGCTTATTGCCCTTGGGGGCGACGACGGCCGTACAAGCTCCTGGGAGCTTATTGTCCTTGGGGCGACTGAGGCTGTACGAGCTCTCGGGAGCTTTGCTCGTGGGGCGACTGAGGCTGCACGGGCTCTTGGGAGCTTGCCCTTGGGGGCGACGATGGTTGTACGAGCTCTTGGGAGCTTATTCCTCTTGGGGGCGAGCTTGCTGCCCTGGGGGGCGACGGTAGCCGTACGTGCTCTTGGGAGCTTATTGCCCTTGGGGGCGACGATGGCTGTACAAGCTCTTGGGAGCTTATTGCCCTTGGGGGCGACTGAGGCTGTACAGGTTCTTGGGAGCTTTGCCCTTGAGGCGACGATGGTTGTACAAGCTCTTGGGAGCTTATTGCCCTTGGGGGCGAAGGTAACCGTACAAGCCTTTGGGTGCTTATTGCCCTTGGGGGGCGACGAGCTTGCTGCCCTGGGGGGCGACGGTAGCCGTACGAGCTCTTGGGAGCTTATTGCCCTTGGGGGCGACGATGGCTGTACAAGCTCTTGGGAGCTTATTGCCCTTGGGGGCGACTGAGGCTATACAAGCTCTTGGGAGCTTTGCCCTTGGGGGCGACGATGGTTGTACAAGCTCTTGGGAGCTTATTGCCTTGGGGGCGACGATGGCTGTACGAGCTCTTGGGAGCTTATTTTTTCCTTGGGGCGGGCTTTCTGCCCTTGAGGCGACAGTTGCTGTACGAGCTCTTGGGAGCTTATTGCCCTTCGGGTGACGTTGGCTGCACGAGCGCTTGGGAGCTCATCGCCCTTGGGGGCGAGCTTGCTGCCCCTGGGGGGCGACGGTAGCTCTTGGGAGCTTCTTGTCCTTGGGGGCGACGTTGGCTGTACGGGCTGTTAGGAGCTTTTTGCTCTTAGGGGCGAGCTTGCTGCCCTCGAAGGCGACAGTAGCCTATGAGCTCTAAGGAGCTCACTGCCCTTGGGGGCGACGATGGATGGCTGTATGAGCTCTTGGAAGCTTATTGCCCTTGGAAGGCGAGCTTGCTGCCTGCCCTCGAAGGCTTCAGCACACGTCCGAGCTCTTGAAGCTTGCCTTTGAGGGCGACGACGGCCGTTCGAGCTCTTGGGAGCTTATTGCCCGGGGAGCGAGCTTGCTGCCCTTGGGGGCGACGGTCGCTGTACGAGCTCATGTGAGCTTTGCCCTTGGGGTGACGATGGCTGCGCAAGCTCTTGGGAGCTTTGGCCTTGGGGCGACGATGGCTGTACGAGCTCTTGGGAGCTTATTGCCCTTGGGGAGAGCTTCCTGCCCTTGGGGGCGACGGTAGCTGTACGTGTTCTTGGTCGCTTAGCGCTTGCTGCCCTTGGGGGTGACGGTAGCCCTATTGCCCTCGGGGGCGACTGAGGCGGTACGAGCTCTTGGGAACTTCTTGCACCTAGTGACGACGACGGCTGTATGAGCTCTTGGGAGCTTATTGCCCTTGGGGCGAGCTTGTTCCCCTTGGGGCGACGGTAGCTGTACGAGCTTTTGGGAGCTTCTTGCCCTTGGGGCGGCCGAGGCTGTACGAGCTCTTAGGAGCTT